TAGAAAAAGCCATACAGAAACTTCCTGACTCAGCAGATAAAGTAACATGTAAAATCATCCTGGCCTGTCTGACCCTCCTACAAACACATCTCACACCATTCCCAAAATGCTTGCTGCTGAGCAGGAAAGTGTTCAGGCTCTTGAACTTTCGTTCATTTTAACAGTTTTACTTAATGTAAAAATGTTTATAACATTCACACACCAGAGGAACACTTCAAAATTAAATCTACTAGGACTAGCATATGGGCTTGGCTTAAAGAAATAGTTTCTCACATTGTTTATTTCTCCTAAAAATGCAGCCAAACTAGGCTTTAAATTACATCATAGCTTTTCTTTAAAATTAGTGTTGGGGAAAAAATCCCTGAAAGGAGAAAGGAAAGTAAATTGTTCTGACACCATAAAAAGTATTTTTTATGAAAACTGTTTATTTATAAAGTAACCAAAACTTTGTATTCTTAAAATAGACCTTGCCTAGTGACAGGAAGTATACACATGGGGGAGGAAAAAGTGTGAGGAATTTTCTTTCTTCCGCCTTATAGGACAGACAAAACAATCTCTGGACCATAGGAAATAACATAAGTTTTAGAAAATCCCAGTGGTACGAGTGAAAATACTTCAAATAAATCTGTGAACCCTCAAAATCATGTTAAAGGACAACAGATGTTCTCCACACTAGCTTGTTCATAGGCTCATGTACTCCCTAGGAGAAATTATTTATTTGCATCCATTAAAGTGAATATTCAGATCCAGGCTCATACAAACAGAGAAGCTGAGAATAATAGGCATAAGGAATGACAAGCTGTGTCTGTCCTCTCCTTTTTGAAAAGAAAGCTGAAAACCCTCACTGAATGTATGAAGATAACAGAAAAATACAGACCACTGGATATACTTTCTGCCAGTCTAATACCTTCACAGTGTAAAACAGAACCCACAAAAAAGATAAGTCTTAAATTTAGGCTGAAATCTACTTCCTGAATGACATTTTTCTTTTATGTTTCTGTGATCTGTGGCTGATGCACTAGGACCTTGGCTGATACGCTGCCAAAATTAAGAAAATTATAAGAAATTATAACTTCTATCACTGTAAGTTAATTCTGAAATTAAATCAGCGATCAAGATTCATCTTACTGTCATGAGCCCCCAAGCAGGAATCTGTCCATCTAACCACCTTCATTAGGAAGCCTTCCTATTAAATAAGGAGGATAACAATATAGGCCCAGATGTGGCCATGAGAGCCTAAAGTGACACACAAGTATCAAAATCCAAAAGCAGAAGCCTCAAAACTTTTCCTACTTCTGTAAGCCCCTCAGGTGTCAGACCTTATCTGAAGAATTAATTATTCATTTTACTCACAGACTCCTTAGGGAAAGTTCATCAATAATGCTGGAAGCAAGGACCAGAATACAGCCCAAGTCATTAGACTAAAAAAAAATTAGCTGTAATTAGGACTATACTCCTTATCTCTTGCATAAGTGATACAGCTTCCTCAGAAGTAGTAATGAATAGTCCCCAATTCTCCTTAGCAAAGGCTAAGCCAGGTGGCTGAGGAACTGTCCAAAGGTTAGGAGCTATGGATTTGAATTTTTTCAAGTAAAGCTGAACACAGAACAAGTCTCCTGTATCTTGTGCAAGCACTGCAATCTTTGTGAAAGAGTCAGCATGCAGATGCTTCCCACACCAATGAGATCTGGAAAGACAGGAATGACGCCACATTCCCTTTGTTGAATAAATGATTTAGGTACGGAAGTATGGAGTTTGTATGTCAAGCTCAAGATTGTAGATTCTTTTGTCTGCACTGCTGGAGTACCTAAAACCCCTCATCTTGGTGCACAGTGCCTTAGCCTTTGCAATGCTAAAGTCATTTGCAATTGTGAAGCCTGCCTTTCACTTGCAGCTCTGTAATCTTTCACCTTAGCTGCTGTGTATTTTTTGTAACTGTTCTCTTGCTGTTATTCTCTCAGCCTTGCACCTGCAAGCCCAATACTGTTGTTATGGCAGGGTCTTCTGGGAACCCGGAGATACTCCCACTGGCATGAGAATCACCCCTTCTTTCCTCCCTTTCTCTTACTCCTTGGCCATAGTTACACTACAGGACTCAATAATACATGAACAAGGTTTACCAATGAATCAGCACGCAGCACCTGCCCAGGATCAAAGCCTGCTCCAGTCAGTGCTAACAGTATCATAAGCAGGAGCAGGCTACAGAGAGTCTTGAGCAGGTCCTGTTGAAAACCATATAGTTACTAGGGGAAAGGTATTATAGGGGAATCCACTCACTGCACTGGAGAGGCCACCTCAGGGTGGAATGCTCATCTGGGGACCCCCATTGCTTCCCTTCCCTGCCAGCTGCTGGGAGAGTTTTCCCTTTTCTGTTTCTTTCCCCCAAAAGTAACTTTCACCCTTCAGAGTGAATGTATGTCATCAGATACAGATCCTGCTAAAAATGTTAATGCACGTGAACATGTCGACATTACTTGGGCCACCGTCTGTCACTCGTTCGCTCCTGTCCCACTGAAAGTGGGCTCTTCCACTGTTTTCAGTGGGTAAAGTATAAAATCTAAGGGATCATACTACTACGAGGCAGCTCTGCGCAAGTGGGATGAACAGTCTAAGGCACCAAATCTTGTGTGAAAAAATATAGAAAAAAATGCAGTTGAAAAAATATAAATCAACAGCTAATGATTAATCTTTAAATATCTCAAAGACCGAAAACTAGAAATATCTATTTGTTTAAATATTTCTACAAAGCTTTTTTCTATTTAATAAACTAACCCCTCCAAAAGTATACTCTAAAGCATATCTTTTTAAACATTGAACAATTTAATACATGTATCGTCATCTCACTCTTTCAGAAAAGGAACTAAATCTTTAGTGTGCACTTGCTGGAGAACAAATTCAGTGACTTTCTTCCAATGCCCTCCTAGCAATGCTCATTATATCCAGTAAGAGAGATAATTTGAATGTTTTAAAGGAAAATAAATTTCATCCCGACTTTCAAATATCTAAAACACTCACGTTGGCACAGTACTCGGTAGGTAACATTTAAAATATAGATGCTAGCATAAATTTAAAGTTTCCCAGCAGTAATTAATACAGGGAAAGCTACAACCAGTATGTTCTGCCAAACATACTAATTTGAAGGGAAGTTCAAAATTAAGGGGGTTTTTTGGCTAATACAGTCAAGATGATCTTCTTCTGCTGGTTTTTCTATTCACTAATATATTTCATCACCATGATCACCAATCAGAGAAACTAAAACGGGCAAGAGTTTAAACATATAAATGGATTTAGCAGAGAAAATATGATTTACAAAGAAATCTACAAACTACAGTCAATTCCAGTAGCTAAAGAGTTCAGAATGATCTGAACACAGTAACAGAAATTTAATAGCAAAACATTTCACTGACAGAGTTAACATTTTTATACCTTCTGTGAGCTTCACTTTCATCAAAACTGAATTTTCCGAAAACCAGTAAATGCAGTTTCAAGTCACCACCCATAAGCCCCTAACGCTTCTTACTAGACCTACCAAGGAACAATAGGAATTATCCACAAACACAACTGTGTGCACTATAATAAGGGTAGTGCATTGAATGGAAAAAGGAATCAACTCCAAGCATCTAACTGAGCTGTGACAGTGATGCAAGGAGATCTGGGAATTCTTGCTCTTAACATGCAAAAGAGGTAACACGGGACTGACAGGCACCTCTCTCCCCGCTCCTGCCTTCGTCTTTCTCTTTTCCCCTGTGAGATTTTTGCAGCAAGTAATTGCAAGTAACGCCGCTACAGAAATATGTTTATTTGAATCTTTAACAACATTAAATCGAATTCGTAGTTAGGCTTTGACAATTCTGCCTCGGTAGCACACAATCACAGTAATTTTGCAGCAAGTCTCACATTGCTTCTGAGGAAAGAGATCTAACCATACAACCCAGGAAAGACACGTCCTATTGCTAGGATTAGCATTTTTAGAAAACACATACTAGTACACTAGAAAATATCACAGAGATGAAAGTAAAATATTTGAGTTGAAAAGAGCAAACAACATTTTGTATTAAGTCTTTAACCTATATTTATAAACTTATGATTCAATGCCAGTGTCTCCTGCTCAACCTCCTACCAATAATTAACACCGCCAATCCAGTAACTCATCTTTTATGATTTCATAAGTTAAATCTAGTGTGTTTACTAGAATTCATTAATATTTATTTAACAGTGTACTGTAGAATCAAAAAATATGAGTATGTGTTTGTATAACATTAAGTAACAATAACACTGTGCAGGAACAGAAGTGGGAAACCCATACTTTCGCACTCATGAAAATGACAAAAGTATTGCAAATATCCTCCCATGTTAGATTTGGTTTGACCATGGTTATCCTTAAATACAAAAATGCTCTACCTACTCTGATAGTCCTTCACACAATTAAACTTGCTTAAATGCTGACAATATTTTAATCAATAAATCTGTTTTTACACACTACATTATGCAATGAGGTTGTGGAGGCTCCATCCTTGGAGATAATTCAAAAGCTACCTGGGCAGGGTCCTGGGCAACCTGCTCTAGGTGACCCTGCTCGAACAGGAAGGTTGCACTAGATGATCTTTAAAGGTCAGCTCCAACCTCAGCCATTCTGTTCTATTCAATCCTTCCACAAGAATGTTAATATATTCAGATTGGTTTAGAAACTATTTTTAATCACTACAACCATTTTCTTTGAGAAAAAGGCATTAAAAATAGTTCTACAGGTGGATGATTAAATAGAGTAAAAATTTAATACTTAATTAAAAGGAGGGAGGGGGAGCAGAAAGGAGAGAAAAAAGAGGACATTTTATATCAAATTTTATCACTCAGCTAACCCAAGAAATAACAAGAACGGAAAGAAAAGGAAGACAAATAGCCCTTTATCAATATACTGATTGTTCACTCTGTCTCAACACGAACTGGATGTCTAACAAACTGAAAGTAATAAATACCGAAGTTCAGGAGGTATGATAGCTTTTTTTTAAGCAAAAGTCAGAAATCCCTTCCTCCGCCCCTCACCAAGATTTATGATTATACAATGCCAAACAGCCACAGGATTACTTATAGACATCCGCATCAGTATAGGTAGGTAAAGTAGAAATGAATAAATAATATGTGGGGAGATAAAACTCAATTCAAAAAAACCAGTAAGTTATCGGGAAAATAACGAAGGGGAAAACACTGTGCCAGCTTTAACTTCTGCAATATATTAGACAACCAACAGGGACTGAATATTAGTGTCAGTTCTAAAGGCTGGGCATAATATGCTACTGGAAATGTTGATCTCTGATTTTAGATCTCTTTTGGTGGGTGAGGAGGCAGTTCATTTACATGGATAAGTACTGACTGGAAGTAAAGCAGTTTTGGAGCACCTAATTTGTGCTTGCAAAATCAGCTAAAGCTTAAAATTCAACCTGTAATTCATGTCTAACTTTGTCATGTAAATTCTGGGTGCATATGACTTAAATGTTCCTAATGCAACATTAACCTTTTACGTTCTATCACTTCAATATGAAAAACAACTATTTCAAAATTTATCAGTAATTACTTGGACTACAGGAAAAATCTTGGTCCCACTAAGGTCAACAACAAAACTCCCTAGATTTCAGTATGGTTAAGATTTCATGTCTAAGATGTCTATACTTGATTGTATACGTGAGAAAGGCAAAACGTCAATTGAAACTTTTAATTGTAAATGGAAACTCATTCTCCGAAGGCATATCTCTTCACTTCCACACACCAACACAAAAATAAAGATCACAGAATACAAGGCAATTAAAAAAAAAAAAAAAAAGCGGCCACACAGTTTGAAGATCAAATCTTTCTTTCTTTCCAAGTTGCAGCTTTACATTCAAAGCTGAAGTTGCTGCATTGCATTAAGAGTATGCAATTAATTTAATTCATCTTCATCATTTGTATCCCCTGGCAAAGTGAGCTCAGGTGCAACATCTGGTTTTCAGTGAAGACCTTTTGTTACCTAGTCTTCTACCTGTTTCCATTACAATACAATGCAGTCAAGAAATATGCCTAAGGGTCATGTAGTCCATTATCCAATAAACCGTGAATTACCTCATGATCTAGTATTACCCAATAATAAGAGAATTTGCTCATGATCCACCATCAAAAAAAAAAAAAAAAACCTTCAAGACTATATGCGGAAGGGCTTTTTTGTTTGTTTGTTAAGATGAACACACAAACATCTTGCAGTTATACAACTGAGTTAGCTACTTCAAATTTTACAAACCTTATTTACAGTCACGTTGGTAATTAAACAAGCAAGTAAAAAGCTGAACCAAAATGTACATGAATTAGAGTGTTGCAAATGTCATCTTTTAAGCAGGATTTACGCTCTGGCATCCTTATCATCATTCTGCTTGGCTGGAGAGGATGCTTTTTATTCTTGATGTTAAAATGGAAGACATTCAAAAGCTATACTTTAACTCTTCTTCTTCGGTGATCTTACAAACCAGCAGTTAAATACCATCTATCATCTTTTGCATAGTTCAGTCCATTTGGACATGGCTAAATAATGACTTGAAAAACAGTAACTATTACAATCATATTTCAAACTCTGGGAACCCAACTTCTAACAAGTTCTTAGAAATCAAATATGGAGTCCATATAATTAAGTAGCGGCCTCTTCTTCTGCTGCTTTATTGGTAAGTTTTAGTGATAAACACTTCAAGCAGGAGGTACTGGCAGTCGTCTTACTATTTCCATAGCTGTTCTTAGATAGGCTTTAGCCTGTAAAAACAGAAAGATATATTTAGCACCTTTTATTTTCTACATGAAGGAATATTTTAAACCTTGTTAGGTATATGGTCTTTCACATACATTCAAATAAAAAGAAAAATGTTACAATAAACGAGTTCTATTTTGCCTGTTTTGTGTTCAGAAAAAATATTACAGTAATATATAAAATAACTACAAGCATTACTTAAAACATCAAGGGGAAAAATAAAATCTAACTTGGCTATTATTTTTAAAATTCTCTATTTGACTGAACAATCTGCCTTAAACAGCAAATAATCAACATTCTTCTGGAAAAAGGAAGCCACAGGTACCACTGCAGTACTATTTGTTATAAACTTCTGTCACCCTACAATTTGAGATGTGCTGCACGTGATGTTGAGACAGAATCAGAGAAAACTACATTCCAGAAAAATTCAAGTGAATTAATTCATTATGGACTAGACTACACTATAGAATTTCCTACATAGGCATTAAAAATAAAATTATTTTGGAAAAGAACATCTTCCCAAGTGACTGAAGGTATTAGAAAGAATAAATTCCGCAGCACTAGAATCCACGTGGCAAAAGCACCCTGTCACACCAAGCTACAGCATTTGGTAGTATGCTATAAGCTGGATGGTATAAGAACACAGAACTGTAAGACTATCAGGAGTGGCCCAGTTAAAGCAGACTTCTTTTAACATCCTTAAAAAGTCACAGAGCCAGGACCATGACTGGTCTACCAACAAGAATTCATAGATTTAAAAATCAAGAGACACGTATAAAAACTCTGCCTAAGCTCCAGCACGATGCAAACCACAAAATGAAACCCAGTAATTCCTGTATCAAGCTCGACAAATTGTGGTCGAAATTGAACACACCTTTTAGAAAGGTCACCAACCTTGATATAAAGATTTTCAAGTAAAAGAGGGAGTATGTACTGCATCTCTTGTACACTGTTCCAGAGATTGATTACTTCTGTTGTTAAAAACGTACACCTTATCTACAATTCGAATTTGTCACACTTCAATTTTCAGCCTGTGCATCATGTTCGGTGTTTGTTTAGTACAATAAAAAACTCCTTTACTATTCAGCTTTCTTCTGCTCTGTTAGATAGTAACCAAGGTATTTCTTTGCCTTCTCAAATGAGCCTGCATTTGGAACCCACACTGCCAACCGTCTCTATTTTACTGGAAGAAATCACAAAAATATTCCCTACTGCACTTATCTCCCTGTGTCTCCTACAGCATTCTTAGGTGGTTCTGACTGCAAGTTAGATGAGCCTTTAATATACTAAGCTGACAGAAGACATACGAGGGCAGAGCTTGAGAGGCAGGAACAGGGGGAGAGGGCCAATGTATCACTTAGGCTACTAGCATTAATTGTCATCAGCAGAACATACTCGGGTCTGAATCAGGTGCAAGCCTTTCAAAGGGCCAGGCACCCCTAACACGCTTTCTAGTGCTTGCTCCTCACACTCATTTTTGTTTTCTGTCTCAGCATTCACATAATCTTAAAACTAAAACCAAAGAATGTCCTAAGTGCGTAAGGAATGTACATACCATCTCTTCGTAGATAACAGAACATGGAAAATGTATTATGACCACAGCTGACTAACCAAAGGGCTTAATCCTAAAATGATTTAGACACATAAGTTACTCATGCAAGCAGCTGCATCAAAATCAACTGAGTGATCTATTTAAGTTACCATTTGATTAAGTCTGTGATCAGCCTCAAATTCTGTAGCTGTAAACTGACAAAGCTAAGACTTGTTTAAAATAAGAATTGTAAGATGTTCTGACATATTACGGCCAAACAACAGTATTTCCTATTCTGCAGTTCAGCTTGGGGGCAGTTTTTTCTCTGGCAACCAACTTAGAACATGGACACTGTCCACTAAAGAGGACCAAAATGTAGTTCTAATAATACGATAATTATGGTTAAAATATCGTCAGAAGACTAGCACCATTCATATGCATTTCCTCCATATGCCTATTCTATAATGATCTATTATCTAGGACTCAGAGAAACTACATGTCAGAGGCGCCTTCAAAACCATTAATCTGTGTATCAACTTCTGCATTTATAAAGCAGTGCTAAAGTAAGGCAATAAACAGATAACTGAAGATTCTTTACAAGGGCCTCTGAAGAACTAAGTTCTGCTCAGCCTTTTGTACCATGGATAAGCTGACTCTCGTTTAAGAGTCACGTTAACATTCTTTGGCACATAAATTGACAAAATATCTACCAGTAAAATAATGTTGCCCTATTTATTCTATTATTCAGTTTTTAAATGGCAGCAATTAAGGAAAAAGTGGGTACCGCTTCTCCATTTATTCTGGAAAACTTATAGACGCTTACTGCAATAAGCAATATTATCTCTCAGCAGTAAAAAGAAAAATCAACACAACCTACACCCTCTAATGCCTACATATAGATTGGACTAATTCATTCCAGAAGAAGAAAAAGCAGCATAATTATTCTCAAAAGAGGTATGCTATTAGTATCTCATAAGGATACTAATGAGTATCTCTATTAGGACCTCATAAAGATTGTGAATAGGTTACAAGCAACCAGGAAGGCAGGCCAGAGTGCTGAAGAAGTCGTCAAACTCTGAAAATAGAAGAAATAAAATCAGATAGGCTGGACACAGCTTTGAGACATTCCCATTGCTCCTTAGAAACCTGATCTTTGGGCTTGGAATAGAAAAGAAGGTGATCTGAAAAGCACAAGACAGGTATTATTCAGTGAAGGACTGGTATTAAACAGTGAAGAAAACACTGTGGCTAAAACTAAGGGGAGTGAAAAGCTTTGATTATTTTCAAATGACTTGGTATTTAACTCTGCTATATTCACTAAATTCCTCTTTCCTTCAATTTCTGTAGTAATTAAGTCATCCTGATCTATCAGGCCAGGTCTGTCGTAAGCTATTGCCCGTGATATTATTTCACTCTATCTAGTGCCATGCTCTTTTACAGAAGATTGTTCTAGGTATTATTATTCTATTATTAAATTACCCTAAATCAATAACCATAACTCAAATGTTTGGCTCCTAAAATACAGCAGGAAAATATCAGATACCACATATGTGGCATCTTATTTTCCATTTTATGATGACATCCCAGTAAGCCAAAGTTGCATAAAATTTACTTGGGTAGTGGTTACTGAGTCTAATTTTGAAATTTATTATAAGACACTAAAAACTCTTACACACACTATTTTCTCCTCATTTACACAATGAGCAAGTTAACTCTCACATCCTCCTCACATCCTCCTGTACCTTCTCACATCCTCCTGTATTTTAGAGCCTCTCTACAGTCTTACTGCAATGGAGTATTAACTGCATTATATACAGGACGCTAGTCAGAGTTACGTTCATCCAGCCATACATAAGATGTCAGAACTTGGACAACAGTAAAAGTTCCACAGCTGTGCTACAGTACTCAACTTCCTTCACCCTTCTTTTTTTTAATAAATGTTCACCAAAGCTTAGGAAAGAATGAGTAGCATCATACACATATCAGTCAACGCATGACTTTTTTTTATTTGCACTAAGACCGCAGGCAATCGTACAACTCATAAAAGTAAACTACAAATTATTTTCCACGCTGGAGAGTAACTAGCAAATCTTACCCCCAAGAGCGCTATAGATTTTTGTAAAATTTTTTTTTTTTAGTTTGGTCAAACACAGAAATTAAATTTAAAAGAAATCTGTTCATCATCAAACATCAATGTTTCACCCACTACTTTTTCAAAGTACCTACATTTTTTCTAACGGACCTTTCATCCTTCACAAGGAAAGCAGGTTCATACCAATCAATAACTTGACATGACAACGCAAATTTGTGATGAAGAGGAACGACAGATTTTCACGTACCTTCAGTATATCTGCAACTACAGTCTTCCCTCTACGCAGATGTATTAATCCTCTCCCTGGTAACCATACAAAAGAATGAATAAAGCCCCCCTTCCTTCCCCTGTTACTGTATAGATCAGTGGTTCAGGGGCTAGATAACAGACAACACTTTCATTTAGGAGAAATGTAACATAACTTTCCCTATTGAAGTATGATGGAATGATTCATGTGAGCACTGTAACTTAGAGCTAGTAGAAGAGATAGCATCTTAACCGACCTCCCATTAGCATCGCTTGTTTCAAAGTTAGTAGTAACTCGGAAGTGCAAAAATGGAATGCTTACAGATCAGTGCTTTAACAAAACACAGGACGGGACGCTTCTGAAAAATCACTGAACCTAATGACAGGCAATAATCCCTTTAATATCTATAAAGCATAAGAAAGAAAAGCTGTGGTATTACAGGCACCTTTATTCGGCAGACATATAGTGGAAATCTCAGTCACATCATTAGCGCTTCTAAAAATTAAAAATAACGACATTCTAACTCAGAAAGGATTGCACCTTAAAACGGGGCAATGTTATTATTCTGGACTCAGTTATGATGGAACAAATGCCTAAGGATCAGTGATCGTAACATTAAAGGGACAGTCCCAATTACATATACTTAGTACTCTGGAAGGGGTAATTTGATAAATTACAAGAAAACTGAAGAAAAACAAACCGGAAGAAAAAAAATCAATGTGAGATATGAGAGTAAACTCTGGAGTTTACTCTCTGGAGTTACCTTATGAAAAAGGGAACCAAAAGCTTTGACTCCACAACACAGGACAACTCTGGCAAAAAGCTTATCCTTGTTCAGTGATAAAGGCAAAACAAAATTAAAAAAGGACTGATTAATAAACACATGGAAGGTGGCAAGAAAGAGGGATGAGAGATAACAACAGACACATGCTAAAATTTCTAGGTAGAAAATGAACATGGAAAGTCAAAGATATCAGCCAAGGCAAAGGCTGACAGATTTGAGAACAATAGCAGGAAATTAAAAAAAAAAAATCTATTAAGAATGAACAGATACTTCCAATTTTGCAGACTCAGTGTAGCTGTAATGGTTCAGGCCAAAGATCCAGTTAACCTAATAGTCTTTCTTCAACTGTGG